TCTCACTCTGATTTGATTGGTAATAAAATTAATTAATTTTGCTCAGTTGACTCTGTTTTGCCTGTTATGGTAACCAGTGGGTAATCTCTTCCTTTCTTTATCTCGATCTGTGAGCCTTTTGTTATATTTTCCCTACTCTGTCCAGTTAAGGAGGGTGGTGATGGAAGTTTCGGTGGGCACCTGGTGTCCAGCCAGGCTCAATGCAGCACACACCTTTAAAACATGGACTTCACCTGGTTCTCAGGATTAGCTGGTTGCATTTAACTGAATAATTAGTACAAGTCTGTCTTGTCCTGCAACATTTAATCCTAGAACATGTGTTTAATACAGTATGGTTTTCTAAAGGGAATCTTAGAGGGTAAATTATTAAGTAATCTCGACGTCAGGCAAAATTGTCACATCTGATGTGATCCACTGGATATTTTTGTTTTCTGAAAGGTAAGAAAAGGGGTGCAAAAAGTGAGATTAAAACTACCAAGTCAGAGCATCACTTGATACAAATTCAGGTGGCAACTGAAACGGATCTCTCCTTTTCTGGTTAAAGCCATGTCCATTATATTACTGAAAAATCATATTAGACATGGAAAGGAACGTGGTCAAGTGCACTCTAGTTTCAGCTATAAAGACTTAAAAATTAGTCTGAGAAGAAGTGAAACAATATATAACATATTTGGTTTTACACATTCCTATCTATGATATTCAGAATTACATGGCATTCTAAGGGAGCATCAGGTTGCTTTTGAATTTTTTTTTTTATTATTTTTAGTTACAGTTTTTCAATTTAAAAGCTACAGGGCAATGTACATTCTTGTAAAGCACTTATGGGAAGATTCAAAGCTGCAGAACTTTGTACAAACTGATTTGCATTTCAAAGCAGTAGAAATGGCTGTTTTGGGTGAGATCACATAGAACTATTAACTAATAACTTTAATGAGCTTTCATAATTGCATAGCTGAACTCTGACTAGGGTCCTGTTTTGAAAAAGAGTATCAACCAACAGTAACTTAACTCTTGATGCTTTGGACTTAAGAAACAGACAGAGAAAGACAAAAAGAAAGCAATTAATTTATTTTTATTTTTTAATGAGGAATTCCTTTATATATGTAATTTCCTAGAGTTTATCAAAGCACTAAAAATACCCCAGAAAGGTTGTAAAAAGAATTTTACAGGTTCTCATTCACATTCAAGCATAGAGAAACTGTTAGTTCATAATTATTTTTTTTTTTTTAATTTTGGCCTAACAAGCTATAATTTTAGAGAAGTACTCTCTAGTTCAAGCTCACAATACAGTCACAGAGAGCTAAGATTATACTTTTAGGTTACGTCTATGTATATATACATATATATGTACGTATTTGTATGCAGGGACTTTAATTTCTTGTATGTATCACAGTGAAGAGAGCAGTGCAAGGAAGGACAATGAGGTAATCCTGCAGATGTTTAGAAGGTATTTCTATACTAACAAAGGATAAAGTATGTTGTCTTGGTTGTTTAGGAAAGAATGGAAAGTATCAAGTTGAACAATGACACTGACAAATAGCACAGTGCCAGTGAAGAAGCCAATAATTAGCATCACACAAGTTTAAAGAAATGTGGGAAATAATTTTTCACTGCAAGAAATTTACATAATTTAACTCTGATTTTTAAGCAGTAGCATTTTTGATTAGTGGACGCATAATCACATATGATGATGGTCACACTGGCATGAAATATACTTTAGGGATGACGATGTATCCCATCAAAATGTTTTCAGACTGAAGACACAAGGCAGGCGCTGCTAGTGATGTTACTGGATGCGTCCTGAAAGTGCTACTTTGTGTACACTAATTTCAAATCAGACCACATGCAATAGATGGTCACAGTTCACCCTAGGCCTCTCACAAAATTCACCTTGTCCTGCAGAGTCAGAAATCTTTAACTTGCACATACTTCATTTGCTAGGCCTTTTTATTTTTTGTTCATTCATTGTACAATGATATAAAGTTACATTTTTCCATTTTTTAAATAAAGATAGTAATTTTTAATGAAAATAGTAATTTTCCTACAGAGCAGTCACACATTTGTTTAGCAGGAAATGTGGTAGTATCATCTGAGTCAAAGTAAGTTGAAATAATAAATTTAATTTATGTTTCCTTCTGACCTGTACTTACTGATCCAAGTAATCTTTACTTTTCTGACTTGCTATTTAATATAACTGACTGGTTCTCCTTGTTGAAATGTAATTCACTCCAGCTTATGTCTCAGTCCTGAATCTTTCTTGCCTGCAAGCGTGTACACTCACGCACACACCAGTGTAAATTAATACATATCCATCTCCATATCTGTACATACCTTTGCTGAAGACTACTGTTAATGTCTGAAGTACCTTATTAACACTACTTTTCTATATTCTAGACAAAGAAAAGAAAACTTTTATAATCTTCTATATTGTCTGTTTTCTACTTTACAGTCCTCAGAAGTTTTAGTTACCAGGTGGACTGGAGAACTACAAAAAGTGTTTCATATTTTTGCTATCTAAAATGACAACTCCAGAGATGCTTACCTTCTGCTGAACATGTTTACTTTGTGCTTCATACATTAGATGGCTAAGGAAGGAAATGAAATCCCTGTGTGCTAGAAGTGTCAGTATGAAAGTACTAATTTCACAGACTGAGTTCTGAAAGCAGTGATCAGAACACCCAAAAGCCTCTCTGGTCTGAATTCATTGCAAACATCTAATTCACAGACTCCTATAGATTTCCAGTTTTACCTTAGTGCCTAATGAAGTGAAGTTTACCTCTCAAAACCTTTGTCACAGCTGGACTTAACTAGCAATAGTTACTTTCAAGACTACAACTTAAGGGGGAAACTAAATCTCAGCAGGTTGTTCTTCTAGAACAAAGTCAAAATGTGCTTTATATACAGAGTAGTCTTCATCCAGGTCTCCAGTCCACATGTCAAAATCAGCATGCAATTTGCCTCTTATTGTTAGTCTCTGCATTGAAGTGTCAGAATGGAAATACAAAGCCACATCAATCAAGAGTTAGATTCTTCCACGGAGTTATGAGAGGAGTAATATTTGCACCATTATGGTCAGTTGAAGAACACAGTTTTTATGTGGCTTCAAATAAATTCTCGCTCACTCCATTTAGTTTTTAACAGTCAAAACACAACAGCTGTTGATTTCTCAGTACAGTTACAATAATGTTAATGCTTACAATCCAAACCACACAGTATCTGTTGAGAATTAGTAAAGTTACAATAAGATCAACAGATCCAAATATGCTCTTTTTCTCACATCTGGAATCTCCACTGTTCTGATCATCCACAGTCTGAGAGGGCAACCCTTCTCTGTCAGGCAGGATGATTATCATACTCCAAGCTGTGTGCCAGGAGAGTGAGGTGTTATAGCAGCATAGTTACTGGTGGAATTTATTTTTCATCAGTCTGTGATTTACTCAGTATTATTTTTTATGGGTTTAAACATCTTATTTGCTAAAATATCTGTCTGATTGCCTCATCAATTTGGTTATACCATAATTCATTTAAATGTATCTATCCTCTGTCTACAGGAGGATTTCTTTTACGTTACGATCCATGTGACAGCACATAGACAAATTACTCAAATAGAAGTTGAAGACTTCTTAGGCAGTAGTCAGATGATTCTCAAAGCCCAAACACACAGATAAGGTGGTGGATGCTTGATCATTGGGTAATTTTGTCATTATGGGTAGGACCAGATGGGTGATAGTCATCTGTTATTATACGAGAGGTAATTAAAGGCAGAAGGTATGTAAACAGTTTTTCAGTAAAAATGAACCCAAATTAACCAATCCAGAAAACGCTGGTGCACACCATAAGGCTTATTAATATCATGAAGCCAAAATACCAACACTGTCACTCATCAGGTTGGCTATACCATAGGAGTTAAGGCACTTCCATTGTCCTTCCTTGCAGTTTGCCTTAGTCTGAAAGTCTCTGAAACACACCTTCCTTTGATGAACACCCATATTCTTCTCTTCTTCTTCTTCTGAAATGAGTTATTGTGTGTCTTTATTTAGTAGTTGCTGGCAAAAAAGTCTCTGGCCTTCAGGGACTAAACCTGAAAAGTACAACCTTTGGAGAAGGGGAGTTAATTTAACAGATGCTATCTTGTCTTCTATCCCCATTTTTAACCTGAAGGCAGGAAATTAAAAAATCGCTTTCCAGTTCTGATTTCCATTGAATCTGTGGTTTCTCTTTGGTCATTGCACTGCTTAAACACAGACAGATCGTTTTGTCTTGGTTTTTGTCCTCCTAAAAGCTAGTTTACATGTCTTGCAAGTACAAAGATGTATTCTGCAAAACCTTCTCAAGTCTTGGGTTCTAAAAGTCACATGAAATATCTCTGTGCAGTAAAAGCAAAGAATTAATTTGTCCTTATTACAAATTCTAGACAGAGATGCACCAGTTCTTCCTTCCTTGTCTGAGCCACTGTGTACATGTATGTGTGAACAAGCTCCATCTATTTTTAGCTTTAATATATGCAGTAAATGTTAAAAGGAATCTTTTAATTGTTAAGGAGCTCCTTTTCATGATTATAATACATCATTGAGATTTGCCTTAAAACACTAATGGGAATAAGAAAAGCAAAAGCTTGGTTTCATATCACCTCGTATCACAGAGGTCCTATTAGCTCTTTTTGCAGAGTGTGTGGTGTTTATCTCTGGGTTAATTATAGCACTGTCTTGAGGAAACCCACCTAGAGTGAGAAAAGACTGAAGCCTAACCTTCTTTACTCTTTGCAGTAGGAAAAGCTGTTTTGTCTCCTCTGACATCTGGAAAAAAATGCTGGATAAACAGATCCTTTGGCTAGCCCACTGATATTGAAGGAAAAGCTGCTTTTATTTTGATCTTGCCGTTCACAAGAGGTTTTATTGTTTTGCTTCAAATGAAATCTTTGAAATGGTACTGTAAAATTGGCTGAGTTCTCCTTTTTCTGCAGACTTAACTTCTCCCCTTTCCCGTCCTCATCCCCACAGGCCCGTGACGGAGGGTTAGCCCAGATCAGTGGAGTCATGCGTCACACAGCTCTATCATACTGGCAGCCGTTCCTGGGTCTGGCTGTGCTGCTAATCTTCACGGGCCCCACCATGGGCTGCCCGGCCCGCTGTGAGTGCTCGGCACAGAACAAGTCTGTCAGCTGTCACCGAAGACGTCTGATGTCCATCCCAGAGGGCATTCCCATTGAGACCAAAATCTTGGACCTCAGCAAGAACCGACTGAAGAGTGTAAACCCTGAGGAATTCACTTCATACCCTTTGCTGGAGGAGATTGACCTCAGTGACAATATTGTCTCCAATGTGGAGCCTGGAGCCTTTAACAACCTCTTCAACTTGCGCTCCCTGCGTCTGAAAGGAAATCGTCTGAAGCTGGTCCCCCTTGGGGTGTTCACTGGGTTATCAAACTTAACAAAGCTTGATATAAGTGAAAACAAGATTGTCATTTTGCTGGACTACATGTTCCAAGATCTGCATAACCTAAAATCGTTGGAGGTTGGGGACAATGATTTGGTGTATATATCACACAGGGCCTTCAGTGGGCTGCTTAGCTTGGAGCAGCTCACCCTGGAGAGATGCAACCTCACAGCCGTACCAACAGAAGCTCTTTCTCACCTCCACAACCTCATCAGTCTCCATTTGAAACAGCTCAACATTAACGCTTTGCCGGCGTATGCCTTTAAAAGACTGTTTCGCCTGAAGGACCTACAGATAGAGGCCTGGCCCCTCCTGGACATGCTACCCGCCAACAGTTTGTACGGTCTCAATCTTACTTCCCTCTCCATCACCAACACCAACCTGTCTGCTGTACCTTACTCTGCTTTTAAACACCTAGTTTACCTGACACATCTCAACCTGTCTTACAATCCCATCAGCACCATTGAAACAGGCATGCTGTCAGATTTAGTGCGCCTGCAGGAGCTCCACATGGTGGGGGCCCAGCTGCGCACCATTGAACCACATGCTTTCCAAGGGCTCCGATTCTTACGTGTGCTTAACGTGTCCCAAAACCTGCTAGAAACCCTAGAAGAGAATGTATTCCATTCCTCCAAAAGCCTTGAGGTCCTCTGTATTAACAACAACCCTCTGGCCTGTGACTGCCGTCTCCTTTGGATTTTGCAGCGGCAGCCCACCTTGCAGTTTGGGGGTGAGCCACCGATGTGTGCTGGCCCAGATAGTGTCAGAGAGAGGTCATTCAGAGACTTTCACAGCACAGCTCTTTCCTTTTACTTCACCTGTAAGAAACCCAAGATACAAGACAAGAAGTTGCAGTACCTGGTAGTGGAGGAAGGGCAGACAGTGCAGTTGATGTGCAATGCTGATGGGGACCCACAGCCTACCATCTCCTGGGTTACCCCACGCCGGAGGCTGATCACAGCTAAATCAAATGGTAGAGCCACGGTGCTGGGAGACGGCACCCTGGAGATCCGATTTGCTCAAGACCAGGACACTGGGATCTACATATGTATTGCAAGTAACGCAGCTGGGAATGACACCTATTCGGCCTCCCTTACGGTAAAGGGATTTACTTCAGACCGTTTCCTTTATGCCAACAGGACCCCTATGTATATGACAGACTCCAACGACACAAGTTCCAATGGAACTAATGCAAACAGCTACTCTCTGGACCTTAAGACAATATTGGTGTCCACAGCTATGGGCTGTTTCACATTCCTTGGAGTGGTTTTATTTTGTTTCCTTCTTCTTTTCGTGTGGAGCCGAGGGAAAGGCAAACACAAAACCAGCATTGACCTTGAATATGTCCCTCGCAAAAACAATGGTGCTGTGGTTGAAGGGGAGGTTTCTGGACCACGACGGTTCAATATGAAAATGATTTGATGGTATTCTGCTAGCAGTGCTTTTTCTGTGGCATTAAAACCAATTAAAACAGCCTGGCATGTGGAACCGCTAGGCAAAAGCAGCTTAATGCAGCTGTCAGTGTATCAAAAGGTTGTAGGAAAATGGAAAGACTATTTGTGGTTATACAACAGAGCCTCCAGACCTTGAGGCAGATGTGTCAGGGCCTTTCATAGAACTGGGAAATTGTACTAACTGTTTGCATTGCAAATATTGGCATTCTGGGGATATCAGCAATGAACCACTGGCTCATGCTCATGGACAATTGTTCAACATTTTCTACTGCTACAAAAGAAAAAAGAAAAAAAACAAACAAAAACCTACAGTGTAGGATTTACATACTTAAAGAAAAAGACACATTTGTCTAAAACATACTCTACAGTGACATTTGTATCTATATATCTCATTTGGTAAAACTTTGCATCCTCCCTTCTAGTTGGTTCAACACCATAAAAAAAATTAGTAGTTTTTTTTCTTTTTAATCTGCATCTATACTGTGTACATTTTAAAGCAATACAAATGAGAGGTTGTGCTTTTAGATATCCACCAATACTGACCCAAGTGTGATGTCACCCTTCTTTTAACTACCATCAAACTCAAATTAGATTCTTGTAGTTACTAATTAGAAATAACATAAGGTATTTTTCTCCTCATTTAGAAGGCCAGAGCTGAACAATTGAGACTAAAACCATTCAACTCTGTCGATCTTCTCTTCGTATAAATATAAGGCATGTGCCTAGTTTTGATACAGATTGGAATATTTTTTATATCTGTGATATCACACTGGACCAGTTTACTGTAACATAGCCCTGGTTCTTACCCAGGGAAGGCAACCCACTAGTCAATGCTGGCATAGAGGAGTTGAGTTCTACCTTGAAGAGAGAGAATCGTTTTTGTTAGCCCTGATTTTAATTTCAAAGCTACTGTTAAAATGTTAATGTGTACTGGGCAAAATAAAGAGCATAATACATTCTGCAGACTCCTTGGGAAATATGGTCATCTTACTATTTATACAAATTAAGTGAAACATACAAACACTCTACTATTAGGAATGAACTCTTCTCCAATGCCAAGTAAACTGCAGTTGTTCATGCATAATATGGGGATTATACAACTAAAATAATTATTAAAACATGATAGCCTCTAGAAGGCTAACATACTGCCAGATATGATGAACCTCTAGCCACTGTCATTCTCATCTTGTATATTTGTAGATAACACACAGACACAAAGCTAATTTCCAAGAGCAGATTACTTAGCTATTCTTGATGCCATTTTAATAAAAACGTGGTTATGTTTCTTTCAGGGGCAGTATCTTAGAGCAAGAGGGGTGAGTTATTTCAGATTTTAGAAATCATTTTTAATGGAGAGAAGTCAGAAGTAGAATATTAGTTCAGTGCGAGTAACCTTTTGTTTGTTTCTTTTACGTCTCAAAAAAATTTGCAAAAGACTGAGAAATTAAACTTTATTCTTAATCATTAATATCACTATTCTTATTTTGAAATTCTCAGCAATTGCAAGATATGAAATTATTCAGCCACTTTTCACTTTTCAAGCAATTAGGAGCCATTAGTTTGTCCTACATAGCTGATAGCAAATACAAGTTTTAAATGATTGGCATAATCTGGAGTAAGGAAAACAATGCCTATATCTATGTTTAACAAAAAAGAATAAGAAAATATTATAAGAGAGAAAATTCGGATTAATGTTATTTAAGAGCCCGTGTTCAATCTTAATATTAGATTTCAGCACTTTGAAACCAAAGTCAGGCTGACCTATAATGGAATGCAGGTGCTTCTAAAATTAGTATCCACATTCTTTGACAGAGATTTTCAAAGCAGGACAACAGTCTCCCACTCCTATCAAAGAAAATGTGCCAAAAATTGTAAGATCCAGCTGTGCTCCCCAGAGGTACCCATAAAAAAGCTGCAGGACCCAAGGCTAGGCAGTTTTGAGAATCTCTTTTGTTAGTGGTTGATCTTTGGTTGCATTGTGCTCCATTTTATGTTGCCAAACTGAGGAGGTTGCAAGGGTTGTTAGAATTTTGTTTATTTAATTTGATTTTAAGTTTAGAGCTGGGTTTTCTTGCTTCTTTTTTTTCTTATGCTCTGAACTAGATAGGTGGAGATTTATAGAGATGCTTGATGAGAATGCTCTTTGTTCTATGACAGTTTGTAGAACATTAGTATAGTGGAATAACCCCTGACTAAATTCTAACACCAGGGAAATTATTTTTGTTGATGTAATAACCACTGCACTGACGTCCAAAACTCTACTGTACCTTAATGTGGACAGTTAAAGAAACAAATGGGGATAAAAAAAAATGTTTCTGAACTGTCCATTGAAGACATTTGCATGTGCCTTTCCCTTGTAATTGTAATTTTTTTCAACTAGTAATCCATTGCCCCTGCAGTCATTTCATGTTAAATGTTGAAATCAATGTTAGAAGCAAAAACTCTCTTAAGTTCTAGACATTTGCAGCTGATTTCTTCATATTAAATGACACAATGAAAAAAATTCTGAAAAAAAAAAACCACCCTAGAAAAAATGTACTTTTAGGATTAATTATGAATTGCTGTACTCCGTTATTCCCTTAGAATGACTCTGATTGCATTGTTAGTGCACTGCAAGGATTTGTGAGCAGAAATATGCTTAGTTACCTATGTGAAATGTGTGCTGGTGATGAAAATCACCGCTTGCTGTTGCTGAGCACCACCTTGCAGATCTGTCAGCGTTCTGTGTATTGCCTTGAGTTCAGTCAGTATTCAATTTTTCAGAATCAGTGTTTGCTCTCTGCCTCTAGCAGTGTTCTTCTTTTTGCAGCCTACTTATTTCAGCATGGACTTGACAAGGCATATGGCATCTCTTTACATAAGTGAGGACAGCAAGACTCAGAGACACACTTTTTATCTTGCTCCACGTAGTCTCCTTTTTTATGTATCTGTGGGACACACACTCACTGTGGGTCTTTTGGGTGAATAAGGAATACAGTGCCAAGATCACACCTAGATAAACACCTTTTTGGCAATTCTTTTAAGAACAGAATGGCTGAGTGCCTACGTGCTTCTGGAAGGAGTCACTTCTATTTCTCTGCTAGAGATCAAGGGGACACCAGAGTTTATCTTATTGCAGGGGAGAAAAAGGACTGGGCTATGAGGAGGCCACATGGCTCCCCTATCATATATTCAGAAACAGGTGGATAGTGCATACCTGGTACTAAAAGTGGGAGCAAAGGTTTTAAGCTACCTCTGGCTTTTATACAGGTTGGCCCCCATGCTGGCACAAGTCTGAACTTTCCTGAGAGTCAGTACAAGAAAACTCTGAGGAGCAGTAACAGTTCTGCAGAAATGGAGAAAACAGAAAATGTCAAAACCAGCAAAGCAACTTGAGGAAGGTACCAAAATATCCTTGTCATAACTCCTTTAAGAGAATGCTTGAGCGTCCCGCAAATATGTTTTGAAGTCCACTTCCACAGACCAGTACTCTTCTTTCAGAATAGATGAATGCACAGGTGTTTACAGAATCACACTGAATCAAGGAATTATTTAGGTTGGAAAACACGTCCAAGATCATAGAGTTCAACCTTTGACCTTGTCAACTAGACCATGGCTCTAAGTACCTCACCCAGTCTTTTACTGAACAGCTCCAGGGATGCTGACTCCACCACTTCCCTGGACAGTGCATTCCAGTGTTTAACAACCATTTCTTGAAGAAATTCCTCCTAATGTCCAACCTGAACCTCGCCTGGCACAGTCTGAGGTTATGCTCTCTCATGCTGTAATTTAGTTGCCAGGGAGAAGAGACCAACCACCATCTTGCTACAATCTCCTTTCAGGTAGTTGTAGAGAGTGATAAGGACCCCCCCATGAGCCTCGTTTTCTGGCAATTCAACAATTCCTCATAGGACTTACTCTATATATCCTTCAGCAGTTCCTTTGCCCTTCTTTGGACATGCTCTGGGACCTCAATGTCTTTCGTGTAGTGAGGAGCCCAACACTGAGCACAGGATTCAAGGTGTGGCCTCACCAGTGCCAAGTACAGAGGGACAATGCCTTCCCTGGTCCTGCTGGCCACACTATTGTTGATGCAGGCCAGGATGCCATTGGCCTTCTTGGCCACCTGGGCACACTGCTGGCTCACATTCAGCCACTGTTGACCAGCACCCCCAGGTTTTTTTCTGCTGAGCAGCTTTCCAGCCACTCTTCCCCTGGCCTGTTGCACTTCCTGGGGTTATTGTGACCCAAGGGCTGGGCCTGGCACTTGACCTTGCTGAACCTCATATAATTGGCCTTGACTTCTCAATCCAGCTGGTCCATAACCCTCTGCAGAGCCTTCCTAGCCTCCAGCAGATCCACACTGCCATCCAAATTAGTGTTGCTTGCAAACTTACTGAGGGTGCACTCAGTCCTCTCATCCAGGTCATTGGCAGAGATGTGAAACAGGACTGGCTCCACTACTGAGCCTTGGGAACCCCACTAGTGACTGGACACCAACTGGATATGGCACCATTGCCCACCACTCTCTGTGCCCAACCATCAACCAGGTTTTAACCTGGGCATTTTTTTAACCCAGTTAAACTTTCAATAAATGAGTTTAAAAAAAGACTGAAGCAATGTATTAATAAAAAAGTTGGAAATTATTAAAGGATTGTTAAGGCTAATCAGTACTCCACCTCTCCTTATTTTTAGATTTTGAGCTGATTACCTTTTTTTTCCCCCCTTTTTCTTTCTTACTAATTTTGCAATATTATTTTCAGAAAGAATTTGTTCACAAAAATCTAACTCCAGCTAGATTCAGACTGAGAGGCTGCTTTTACCCTCCGTTCCTACCTCACCAACAATTCAGACATTCCACCAGAGATAACAGGGTCGACAGCTCCACATACAACTGAACTCAAACAGGAGACTCCGAGGTGCCTAGAGAACTATCGATGCAAGCTGATGTCACTAGGTGGTTTTTTAAATGGTAGCTATCTTTTTTTCCTAATTTCTTTCATCTTAGTATTGAATCACCTATGACAGTAACAATTGAAACACCGTAAATAAAACTAAGAAACATTGCACACTACACCCTCAGCACCACAAATTGTAATTTAGGCGTACAAGAGGTAGTAAGAAGTCAACATTAATATTTATTGGAAAGTCTTATCTAAACCTTGTGACAGGAGAAACTGGTGAGAAGAAACTGAGGGATGTAGGCCATGTTGTGACTGAATCACATCAAAGATAAGTAGAAACAGGCTTTGCTACACCATACCTGGATATCAGTTACAGACACTGGACTTTTCCTGAAAAACTTTCAGGACGTGTGAATGCCAGAAGCCCACAGTTAACCCATAAAAAGGCGAAGTGTTGGCTGAAAATCTGGTGGAGCAAGTAGGTACTGGCTGCCCAAGTACCAAAGCAGCTTCCAGCAAAGACAGACAAGAAACTGTAGTCAGGCAGTTATTTTATCTCATCACTACTGCATTGTGTGAAAATATAGTCCATTATAAAATAATAAAATGGACAATCTTTACCTATTTTTCTTCAAAGAAGGCAATGTTTGTGTAATAAACTATAGTCTGTTACACCTCCATCACCAGCAGTGAAGCATCCAGCAAGAAGTGAGGAAGAGAAAACCTGTTCTGATCAGTTTGCTAATTATTCTTTTCTCCTGACTGGTCCTAGTCTAACTGGGAGTAGCATGATGACTACCTTGTCCATTTCCATCGTCTCAGCTCATCAGGTGGCTTGACATGGAGTAGCAGGGAAAGAAACATATGATCAAGTTGTCCATCTTCACTGAATTGTACCTCTGATCTCAAATAAAAGAAAGAGCATAACAGTAGAGTTTTAGAAAGGCCAGGCTGCTGCACCTGATTCCTAGTTTTGCCATAAGACAACATGTGGGAAAACACTGTATATATGCTTTCTGACCTTTTTTCAGTATCCTCTGCTTTTTACGCTAAAAAGAACCAGGGGGAAAAAAAAAAAAAAAAAAAAGAAAAAAAAGAAAAAGCTCTCATCCAGAAATTTAAAACTTAATTGTGCCTGGAGAAGTTAAAGGAACACTTTGGATAAAGCAGAGGGCCTCATTGTTGGAGAATCTCTCAAGAAATGCATGAGATTTTTCAAGATATCTAAGCAATTTGGATGCCCTGTTCTTATCTCCTATAGTAAGAATTAAAAACTCAGCTTCCCTTGGCTGTTTAGAAGAATCTCAGTTAGTTCAGTGACACATGCTCCTTTTGTCTGTCTCCTAGTTCTGCCCTCTTCCCTTTTCAGTTTCAAATGACTGTGATGCCAAATGAAGATCTCTGGATTTGGTTAGGTTTCACTGAATGTTCACATGGCTTTCGGAATCTGATCTCAAAGAAGAATCTTAGATCTTCTTCAAGACAAAAATAAAAATAAGAAGTCTGAGTAAACCTCCTCCTCCAAGTGAAATAAACCAACTTCTATAAAAGCCTTGCTACTGAGATAGCTATATGCCAAAAGCAATCTGCAGGGGATTTTGTTGGGGTTGGGTTTTTTGGTGTGTTTGGTTGTTTTTGTTTTTTTTTTTTAACTAGGAACAGGTGGTTGGATATAAGACCAGCTGGAAATAAAAATCTGTATTTATAGCATCAGCAGAATGAGGGAAGAGCTGTCATAGTCAAGAAAACGGTCCTTGTTATTCCAACTTAAATTGAAGAATACTTTATCTTTCATATTCAAATAGGTTATAGGGAAGTGCAAAAGAACAGACTTTCACCTCATAATTTGATTATTTTTATTTATTCAGCAGGTACCAAAATTGTCATAAAGCAGAAGTGTTGAAGTAAAAGACTGAAAAGAGATTTTCTACTGTAGTCAGGCAACATAAATCAGGAGACACCATTCTGTTGCTCCTGGTTACACTAGAAATTTGATAAATGAGTCTAGGTTTTTTGCTTTCTACTAAGCAGGCTGTAGTGGAAAATAAGCATAACTTATGTTTTAATTATTTCTCACCTTGTGGCATATCTTTTTTCTGAATTGCTTTAATATTTACCGCTGCTAACTGAGCTGGAGAACATGAAAATGCTCATTGTGGAAGAAAAGAAAAAAAAGCAAATGGAAATCTGTAACCTTAAAGAAGTCTGCCTATTTCCAAGCATGGCATTTGCAAGTCAGCAACATTATCTCTCCATACATAAGCCAAGAACAATGGCTTAAAAGCATTGTACAGAGGCAGCTGCATATGCAGCTATGGAGATGGTTGTCAACTTAAATACACCTTAGCAATTTTGATCTTTCAGAAAAACAAAATATTATTGCTTCTTAAAGAATTCATTTATGACATTTTAATACCTAAAATCAAACAACGCTTTGACTTCGTTATACTGGGCACTGTATAAGTAGGAAGTAAATTATAACACTGATCTCTTGAGCTTGATGCCATAAAGTAGGAATTTGGCTTTTGAGCAAGTACACATGATAATAAGTCTCTCATTGTTTGTGGAGGGAATGCCATAGTGCAAGTATATTAAAATATCATCACACTTAACTAAAATCTGTT